CGCGGTGGCGGGCGTTGGCAGGTGCTGGCGGCGTCAAAGTTTCGCGTCGAAGTCCGGCGGAGCGACACAACTGCAGGGCGGGGAACAGGGGGACCCGGCCTCCCCCGAACACAACACACCCTCATTTTGGCTGTATCTGGCCGGAAATATAACTCGTATACATTCATTTTTAGGGTGTTTCATGTTCGGGGGAAGACGGTAGGGGGTACAACGTGAGAATGGGGGAGGGAACGGGGGCTGTAGTTCCTGCCCTCACTGATTTGAAATCGCGGCGATCTGGGCTGTTGATGTTTGAGATCGACGATCCAGATTGGGCCCGATTTCGAATCGGTGAAATCGGGCCTGCCGGCCCCGTTTTTTTTTCTTTCGTGGTCTGCATAGTCTGCCATGAGTGCGAAAAGGGCCCCAGCGCCGAAAAAAAAAAAAAAAAAATTAACCTACACTGATGCGCTGGGGGCACCCGGTGGCCAACCGGGCGTGACAACCCCCCCCGTGCGACGACCAGGCCGCCGGGCGGCCCGGGGACCAGCCTAGAGATGAACTTGATACTGTCTGTTTCTCCCTTTTCTAGTGTGTTCTACCTATGCTGTCTGTCAGATGTTAATGGCTGTACATCTAACTAATCAAAATAAAAATAGAATCGTTTGGATGGCTGTTTGCAGAGAGGAATTGTTCCCGAACTTATCACCTGAAATCTATCGCTCCCTCAGTTCTTCCTGATGTCGCTTGACGTCAGCGTTCCTGAGCAATCCAGATAGCGTGCGTGTCTAAAGGTGTGCACATGGCCCACCCCTGTGCCCTAAGTCAATGCTGAGCTGGCCAGCCCTGCACCTCGTTTACACTTCCGTGCAGTGAGTTCACTGACTGATTGGCTGAGGACGGCCCCCGAGGTCCTCAGCAATTATTTAACGTCGCAAACAGGACGACGATCACAGCCAATGGAAGGTACCCCGCCGGTATTTACAATGCAGCAGGCAGACAAAGGACAAAGCAGCAAAGCATGTGTGCTCTACTCCCGGTGGGTTGGCATGGTGACCGTGACCCAGTGCTTCGTACAGGGCCCTTCAGATGGCAACGCCCTCTCCTTCCAGATGCTCCACGTGAACAATGCTGACTCTCAACGTTGAGCGCACTCGACTCCTCACATGAGAGGACTCTCAAGACAAAACACACATCCTCACGGTAAGAAGTGTCGAAGAGGGTAGATAAGGTTAAGAGCAACGTACCTCAAAATAGCTGCCCCCAACCACATATATTCTCACCAGATGACCTGACGTCGATTGTGATGACCGATCATTGCTTCGGCACAACCAGCATTACACCGTCGTTCCTCCTCAGCATCAATCGCACATCAGATGGTTCTCATCACACTGTGAAACACCCAAAATCACCTCCTCAGTCTTCCTGGCGACACCCCTTTCCACCTGGGTCGCCTGCTTGCCTTCGCCCTCCTTACTGCACACTTCCCACGGCCGCTTGCCCAGCTAACCACGTGCATGCACCACATAGGCAGAAGACAAGCGCCAGATTAGCGCAATGTACCACAGCTCCGATACCAAAATGCACAGGTCCTATACCAATAATGCAAGGAAAATGAGTGATAGCGAATTCCAGAAACCAAGCAGCATGATACACATGGAACCAGATAGTCTTGACCTCGAACCAAAAGCAGAATTGCAACTCGAGTTCCACCAAATAAGAGCACAACAAAAGCTCACAAGCGACAATGCTGGAATAGTCTCATCATCATCAACAATGAACCAATGTCGAATTTCTATCTGTGGCTCAGCGCCCAGACTACGAATGACAGATCCTATCTAGCCTATCTACAATGCCGCTGGTGACGTCAACAGCTTCCCAAAGTACGAGCAGATCTCAGCCAATGCCGTTCGCCTCAAGCACCAGGTATGTCTCACGCTTCACTCACAACCTCGATCTCCCACACAGATGCCACGTGCACCCAAGGACCACCATGCGTCCCATCCAGCATCTCGCAGGCCAGCTCGGCTATGGCAGCCTGTGTGTGCCCTGCTCGCCCATGAACGCGTGGGCGATTGCCTGCAAATAGCTCAGCAGCGCTGTTGCAGCTTGTAGCAAGTGCCCGGATGTCGAGCTCGCAGCCAGGCCCTTTCCTATATGGAATGAGGCTGCCAGTCGTGGCTGCCTGGTTGACCTGGACCACCCCACGGAAGCTTCCGGTAGGCCCAAGTGGCTGAGCCCCTGGGAGTCTTCCACAGGGCCTGGGGTGGTTACCTGTGTCCAACTGCCAGCGGCCTGTGCTCAGTTCATGCCCCGTGTCTGGCCCGGGGCCTGCCTCCGATTCATTTGGAAAAAGGCGCCAGGGCCTGGGCTCACTCAACCAACTGGCGCTGCGCAACTGCCTGAATTTCCGAGCTGCTTCCAACCCAAAAATAGGCCTCTCGTCCCTTGTCAGGCCTGCCTTCACTTAGGGCGGTCGTTCTGGCAGAAACAGGGCCCAGTAGGGCTTACCGAGGCCTTGAGCCTCGCAAATTTTTTTTATTAATTTTTAAGGGGTGGGGGGTTCAATACGGATGGTCTGGAGCAGTCCAGACACAGGTCCGGCCGAACGTCTGGATTGGTCCGGTGTCTGGGTCCAGCGTAACCATGGTTATCTGCTTCCCTGTCTGAAGAAACTTTTGAAGCTTAACCACCTCCGCGTCTGGCAACCTAGGATTTTTGTGCCGGTATGCAAGGGGGCTGTGGGGCAGTGGTGGTATGCTGGCAGTCTGGATATGCTGGAAAAAAATACCTGCTTCTGTCGACACACACGCTAAGAAAGGAATTCAGCAAATTGAGTTGGTTGTTTGGTTGTTTGTTTAAACTTTAAAGTGGTGTCTTGGTGGTATGCTGGCAAAGAGGAGATGCTGCCAAAAAGAAAAACTGCTGTGGACACACGATAAGGAAGAAATTCAGCAAATTGAGTTGGTGGTGTGTTTAAAGTGGTGTTTTCATTTAAGTTACGGTCTCTCACTGAGTTAGTGGATTAATTGATTTTGTGTTTTCGCAGACATCTATGTATGCTGGTTTCAAGTGGGACACAAATGAGATGAGCATTATGCTAGCAGCAAAGCTGGCTGGGCCATTCAAGGGGAAGGTGGTTAGGATTCTCATTAACAGCATATACGTGAGGGGTCAGGTAAACTTGTTTTAACACTTATTCCAATCTTTTTAAGGAGCATAGACTTTGCGTGGCAGGATTGAAACCCATGCGTCAGTACTTGTGCATGCTTGTGGATTGCGTCCATTGTCATGTCTACTCAATGGCTGTGAGGATCTGGTCTGCCTTCTGTGTGGTGAGATTGTGTATTTTATATGTATACACCAGGCAGTTCTCTATGACAATGTAATAATACGTAGTATGTTAATCTCTTTCTTCTATCTATAGCTTATTGGCCAGCGGCTGTGTCAGAGCCTGTTGTGGCCCTCTTTATTGTCTGATCGTTTATCCGGCGACCGAGATTTGTCCTGAAATGCAGCGTTGTTGGACGCGTGGATAGTCTCACTGGCCGCTTAAGGTGTCAGAGAACATGGAGAGCTTTAGAGCATCTCATAGTGTCAGAGGGTGTCAGAGATTGTGATGGAGTGTCAGGGAGCAAATGTGTTACGGACTTCGCCAGGGCTCGATCCCTGGTCTTTTGCTGTTTCGGCTGCATCCCGTTTTCGGCCTGGCACCCTTTTTCCAAACCCCTCCTTTGGTACCGTAGGATTTTGGACAACTGGYGCCATGCTGCAATTCGGGCGCCACTTTTAAATACTGCATTTTTCAGTTCTGCCCTCGGGGCCTTTGCAGAAATGCCCCTGGTACCGTACGTGTCACCGGTACTTATACCGGCTCCCCGTACGGTACGGGGACCAGTCTCGTACCAGTTCTCTGCTGCTGTACTCGTACTCAGTGTGACTTGCTGTTTCGGCATTCGGGATCCAAGACTTCGACTATGTGCCTTGCCACTGTGTCTGCGTCCGACCCTCAGTCCGAGTCCGTCGTGTTGAGTGAGTGAGTGTGTGTGTGCTCTCACTCTCCCTCTCTCTCCTCTCCCTCGGCTCACCCTCAGCCTCACCCTCGTTACAAAATGTGTAAGAGGTGTCAGAGCGCATCACAGTTTGGTCAACCAAAACAAATGAAAATGCTTAACCTTGACGTGTTGATTTCTTAAGGAAGTTTCGTGGAAAAAAGAATCGTGCACGCCAGCCTGGAAAGAAAAGAAAAGGGAAGGCGGTTGTTGAAAAGAAAGAACCTCGCTCGCCGTCCTGGAAAGGAAAGAAAAGGGAAGGCGCTTGTCGATCGTTGATTTTGGAAAGGATTGGACGCACGTCGATCGCCGATTCTGCAGAGGACCGGAAAGCTTCACTATTGCTGGAGTTCAAAGGAAGTTTTGTGAAAAGAAAGAAATGTGCGATTTTGAAAGGACCCGGGAAAAGAAATGCGCGCGGGGAACACACACAGTTAAATAGATATATAGTATCGAAGCCATGGTTTGAAGCCAGGCTGGACTGATGATAATTGAACCTCCTGTTTGTTGCAGCTGGGGTTTGAACTCAGGTACAGATCTTGAGGTACCAACTGCTTGATGAGTTTGATTTTGGGGACGTGCCTGATTTAAATGTGTACAGGGACCCAGTCTACATCAGCCATTAACTCGTCAGGCAGTTGGTACCTCAGGATGTGTGTGTGTGCTCAAACCTCAGCTGGAACCATCGGGCAGTTGGAACCTCACCAGCCATGCCTGGCTTTGAACCCTGGCTTCTCTAATGTATCAGATATCAACCAATACGTAAAAACTCGCTGGTCATGGGGTGTTTTCGAGTTGGGGTTTTTTTTTGAGGTGAAAGGAGAACTGTTCTTGGTCATGGATTGCGGTCGATCGGTTGGATCTTTTCATAAGTTTTGCATCGTGGGGCTGTAATGGAAGGAAGCGTCATGGAGAACCATTTTTCAAGATCTGACCAGAATTTCGGGAAAACAAAAAGAAAAAGGGAAAAATTTTGAAATGCCCCTGAAGTTACGATTAATTTGCGGCATGCCCCTCTGACGGCCAACTTATCCTGTCGTGCCCCTCTGACAACGTATAATGTTTCCAGAAAACCCCTGACGTTGTTTGGGCCTGAAACATGTTTCATATGCCCCTACTGGTACCTGTCCCAAATTTCGAGTACGCCCCTACCGGTTGGCAGTTAAGAACCAACAGGAAGGTTTCCCATATGCCCTTACCGGTCCCATACATCTTTCCAGCATGCCCCTGTCGCCGTTGTTGACACTCGCAGTCTTTCCCCTGGCCCCGGAGAGGTGCTACTGGGCATATCAGAAATTTCCAGTAGCTTGAGGCCAGCCGTGGGGTTGGAGACTTACCTGTTGGCCGGTGCGTTGCTCATCCTATTGATGGGAAACTCTCTCTCTCTCTCTCTCTCTCTCTCTCTCTCTC